AATCTGTTAACACTGAAATGGAGTGAAAATTGAGTTATCAGCTGTTGAAGTATGTTTACATTGGGGGGGACACCCTGTAGTATATATATTTGGGGGACACCTCAAAGCACATATATTTCACAAGTGTGAACACATGTATGTAATATATTACATTTGGTTCCTACCCTTGGAAGTCACTCAGAAATAATAAATCAAAATGCCATCCTCAATGGGGGACACTGGGGCACTGCAGCCACTTTCCAAATCAGGCTGCACCTGCCTCTCCCACATGTTCCCCTCTGCACACTGTGGACACTTGCTGGGAGGGGGCGGGCAAGGCTTTTCACTGCCCCATCACCCAGGCTGGGCAGACCCAGTGTTGATAGAAAAGTGGCCCCAGGAGCCAGCTGGAGAGAAGCAAAGCCTGAGGCCACCTGCCTGGAAGACCGCCCTGGCCTGAAGGATGTGGAAACCAGGCCTGGCTTGGCAAAGCACTAGGTTAACAGTCAGCCTGACTCCAGGGTCCACCCAGGGCCTCCAGGTCTTTGTGGTTTGGCTGGTCTGGGCTTCTCCTGGGACCACCAGGCTTCTGGGAGAGGGAGTCAAGTTTCTGGATCAGGAAGGCCCAGCCCTGAGAGAATGCATGCATGTGTGTATTTGCTCACCTGCGCATGCACACGCACATGCATATGCGCACGCATGCTTTAATGGAGGTGAAGTAGCTAATACATGTCTAAGGGGCATGCTCACATGTTGTCTGCCTCTGGAAAGGCAGTTTGTCATTGCCTTGTGAGCATCGCCAGGCCAAAGTGGATTTGTTGAAAAGATACCAGTGGCTGGAGGTAGAGACAGGAGCTTCACATATGGGGTGTGACCCTGAGGGCTGGCACAGCGTTGTCACTAACAGAACAAATGGAAGCAGCACGGGAACCCTTTCCTCCTCCTACAGCCAGTCCAGGTACCGCAGGCAGACAGGAGAGGAGACCGTTATCTTCAGAAGGTGTGTTGGTAGTTTGAAGGCTCCAGATCTGCTTTGGGGTCAGGAGGAGAGGGCCACTATGGGTCCTCTGGCCTTTCAGTACGGGTCATTGGTGGTCTTTATGATTTTTCTTTTTTATGGTCTAGGTATTTGTTTTTTCGTTTGGTTTTTCTTTGTGGGTTTTTCATAAATGAGGGAGGTTATTTGGTGGAGGAACTGGTAAAAGGAAGGGAATCTCCAGTATATGGAAAAAGAAGAACCTAAGTTGAAGGGGGTGGGATGTTCAAGGACGAAGAGGACTGAAAGCGTTTCAACACAGCCGGGCGGGCCGCTGGACACTTGTCTTTGTTCTTCCCTTTGTTCTTTTTGCGCCAAGTGGCTAAATGGTTATCCCCAGATCACCAGGAGAAGAAGAAAAGAAGAAAACAACACAAAACAGCAAATAAATGAATTGAAGAACAACAAGTGACTCTACATTGGCTAAATGTACTTGGGAAATCAGAATCCTGTCTAGCCCAGGAGAGATGGAAACAATACCCATGGCACAGCCAGAATCAGGACTTGGTGAATGATTTTGGCTCTGACTCCATCTAATTAATTCAGTGGCAACATTGTTCCAATGCTTTACTTAGCAAGTGAGGAGAAGTCTATATTGCTCTAGGAGATGATGCGTTAGATCATTTTTCAATTTCAATGTGTTAAATTATGAAATACGGATGTTTATTAATTTAGGACTTGGCTTTTGTCACTCATTCTTTTTTGAAAATGTTTTTATTGGTTTCAGAGAGAGGAAGGGAGAGGGAGAAAGAAATACAAAGATCAATGATGTTTCTATCATTGATCAGCTGCAACCTGCATGTCCTGTCCTGGGAATTGAGCCCACATCCCAGGCACGTGCCCTGACCAAAACCAAACTGTTACCTCCAGGGTCATGGGAGGATGCTCAGCCAACTGAGTTACACCAGCTGGGCTTACTCATCCATTTTTATGACAGGCTTCCTGACAGCTTGGCTCACACACCCTAACTCCTGCTCCTGTTCAAAGACTTTGGAACACTTAATGGTATGTTTCTGCAGTAAAATGGGCTATCTCAACTACTCACTAATATTTTTTTTTGGAAATCCTCACTGGAGGGTATTTTTCACATTGACTTTTAGAGAGAATGTGGAAGGGGGAGAGTAGATGGAGATAGAGAGAGAAACATCCATGTGAGAGTTACACATCCGCTGGTTGCTCCTCGCATGAATCCCAACTGAGGCCCGGGATCAAACCTGCAACCAAGGCACATGCCCTTGACCAGGAATCAAACCCGTGCCCCTTCATTCTGTGGGTTGGCGCTCTATTCACTGAGCCAAATCCGGCCAGGGCTAACTAATAATTCTTTTAAAAAAATATATTTTATTGATTCTTTACAGAGAGGAAGCGAGAGGGATAGAGAGTCAGAAACATCCATGAGAGAGAAACATCGATCAGCTGCCTCCTGCACACTCCCCATTGGAGATGTGCCCACAACCAAGGTACATGCCCTTGACCGGGATCGAACCCAGGACCCTTGAGTCCACAGGCTGACGCTCTATCTGCTGAGCCAAACCGGTCAGGGCACTAATAATTCTTATACATGTAACATAACCTCTTATAGAAGGATACCTTTGAAAATAATGGAAGTACCTACCTCTGCCAAAATGGCTAGGGCTCTACCACTTTTTGATGACAAAACACTCTCAACATCAAGAATGATTCCTGTTCAGCCCTGGTTTTGCTCTGTGGAAAGAGCACAGGCCTGTGGACTAAAAGGTCCCAGGTTTGATTTAGGTCGAGGGCACATGCCTGGGTTGGAGGCTCCAACAGAGTAGAGGGCATGCAGGAGCAGCCAATCAATAATTCTTTATCATTATTGATGTTTCTATCTCTGTCCCTCTCCCTTCCTCTCTGAAATCAATAAAAATATATATTCAAAAAGAATTATTCCTGTTTAGATCAATACGCATCCTCTACTCTAAACCTCCCCTTCATGACCTTTAAATTATAGTCTGACAATTGGTCTAACGTTCTGAGCATGTCATGTGCATGATCATAACTGATTCACCAGATTTCTGATTGAGGATTCAAGTTCATACATAGAAGAACCTCCGTTACTTCTTTCCCCCATCGCCACCTGCTGACCACAGCTCACACCACAGGATGAGGACCCACTACTCAATGCTGGGGCCACAGGCTGGTTCAGCATCTTCAGAGACCAAAGCAGCTTGAAGTGCAGGCAGTGCTCACAGGGGTTAAAGTTCAGGCACCATCATCTGTCAGACCCAGGTTGGGATCCCAGCTCCCACACTTATTCTCTGGGCCAGGGCTTCACCCTGTCAATCCTCACTTTCCCAGCTCTGAAAAGGGGATAGGAATCATGCCTACCTCACCCGGCAGTTAGGACTAAAGGTGGCAGATAAAGCGGGTCAAATCCTTAAAGTGGACTGAGCCCAGGAGCACCATTGCACGGCTGCCATTACTATTATTTACCACTCACCTGCTCATTCATGCATCCAAATGACAGTTTGGATCTGTCAAGCATTTTTTTTCTCTGAAAGGTTTGCTAACTCAGTTAGGCTAATTATATTCATTAAGGCAATTTATACAATAACAGAAGTTGAGGTAATAAATGTCACAACATTTAAGGAGCCAGTATGAAAACATCAGGCTAAAGAACCCCTCTAGATAAAACAAATGTTAATAAGCTTCATTATCATTTACCTGCAGGTGAGCATTTGACCTAATTCACCTGCTGTAAAGACTGGGAACGCAAGCATTAGCCCCCAAACAGTGGGCATGTGTGTGCACACTTCATTTTTGCATCTCCAGTGACACACCAAAAGTTGAAGTGGTGAATGCCACCCAGAAAGGCTTGTGCACATGTCACACTCAGAAGGAGGCTTGTCACCCTCCCTAGATCTTGTCAGGTACTGTAATGCCAGCCACTGTGAGCACATGAGTCTCAGGCTTGGCCCTGGTCTTCAGAAGGCTCTAGTGTCTGCGTTAACTCTATGGAGATCCGCACTGTACATCCCAGGACCTACCAACTATATGTGATGGGCAAGGCTCCTCATGCTAGCAGAACTACATTGTTCTGGGACAAAAGTGTCCAACGTTGACAAGGGTTTATATTTTATATTTGGTTGTTCACATACCTAAGGGAAGGCACACCCCCTTCCGGCTCCTACACTCATGTGCACACCCAGCACACCATCTCCTTGGTGCTGCCCTGCCCATGGAGGAGACCTGAGATCCACCACTTTATTTCCCACTTACAGCTCAGTCACCCCTCTTACATTTTGAAGGTGGCGCGCTGGGGGCATCTTGCTCTTCCACCCAGTATGAGCATGATGGGGTGGCCTCCAGGGGCCCAGGAGGGCTGTCTTGGGTTCGCTGTGTTGGATCTCCAGAACCATTGTTTTTGGGTTTGAAGAATTTGATGAAGGATCTGGCTCGAGACCACCACTTTTTCCTACAGGAAGTAGAGGTTTAGGACATTACCAACCCTCAATGTCCCTCCAGATGGGCAAGTGGCTGTTCATTTGGGGTTCAGACGGATGGTGCTCTTCTCCAGCACCACGATGTTCATATGTGGGTCTCAGGAGGTGGAACACTATTGGCAGTGAATTCACACAGACCCAGGGATGGTAGAAGCGTTCATTGTGGCAGAAACCCACACTAGCCTCTTGGGAAATGGAACTTCAAATACAACAATCAGGTTTATCACTGGCCCTAATCAGAGTGCGTACAGGATTACAACCAATCGATGTGTCTCTCCCACTGATGTTTCTCTCCCTCGCCTCCTTCCTTTCTACTCTCTCTAAATATCAATGAAAAAATGTCCTCAAATGAGGTTAAGAAAATAAAAAGAAATAAATGAAAACAGTGAATTTAAAGGGTAAGTAAAACATTGCAGCTAACTGGAAATGGGGGCATTTGAATAGAATAAGAACTACATGTGTGTTCTAATCCTGCCTCTGCCACAGACCAGCACAGTGCTTTCACAAATTACTTAATTCCCTCATAGATGCATGACTTTGCTCTGGGTGTGCAGCTCCTTCTGCTCGGCCATCATCAGCTGGTTCCAGAAGTTGACTCTGGGGGTGGAGAGCCACAGGGCCAAGGGCTGAGGAGCACTCCCAGCCTCCGACCCAGGTGTGCACCTTAATCAAAACCACAGCCTCTCTGTGCCTCCGTTTTTCCCGTGTGTAAATGAGGGTGGAACAAACTTAGTGGATTTCAAACTGTGTCCATTGGGGTTCTAGAAGGCTAGCGCAGCTGCCCACTGTGGGCTGGGGGAGACAGGACAGGCAGGCTTGGACACCACTTCAACAGAGCACCCTATGAGAATCCTTCCCATGGAAGGCTTTGGCAGACCTGCTGACTTGGAACAAAGGGTTCTTTGACTGAAATACTTTTGAAATACATGGAATCAGAACATTTTTGCTGTAAATTTATATGTCTTTGTCCATCTCTTCTCCCCATTCCCAAGCCATTTCTTATTTCCCCTCCTGAGACAAATAACATATGAGATTGGAGAGTATTATGTAAATCTACTGAAATCATCATCATGGTCATCTTAACTGCCCGATTGAGTATCAGGTGGCAGATTTATACCAGAAAGCTCACATGACCAGAAGCTCATGGACTCAATTTGAACACAGATGTGCCCTGTTTGGTGCACATCATCTGTATTTTTCCATTTAAATTAATTAGTTCAACAATATTTAAAAATTTTTAAGTGTCACGTCAACATTCAGGTATCTATCTTCTCAGATGGTGGGGAGAAAGCATAAAGAAAAGGTGCTGGCAGGTATGACTCAGTAGTTACAGCATGACCCATGTACAGAAGGGTCATGGGTTCAAGTCTCATTCAAGGGAACAGACCTGGGTTGCCGGTTTGCTCCCCCTTGTAGCTTGAGTGTGTGCTATAGATATCCAATAGATGTGATGGTCTCACATGGATGTTTCTCTCTCTCTCCCCTTCTCCTTCCCTCCCTTTCACTCTCTTTAAAAGTCAATGGAAAAATTATCATGTTGTAAGGATTTAAAAAAAAAGATTATAAAAAGAATGACCTGGCAGCCCGGGCCTGCCTCTCTGCAGGCAGCCCTCAGAGGGTGTGTATTCTCCACGAGGGTGTGATCTAACACTGACAATCCTTCCCCCACCTGCTGGACCTGCCTGGCCACTGGGGGCACCTGAGTTTATAACCCCCAATACATGTTAGAACAAGGCTGTGGGAAGGAAGGCTTCATATGGACATGCCTCTGGGTTGAGACAAGACCTGGAATTGATTCCTGACAGGCTCGCTAACTAGGAGCATGAACTTGAACAAGTTATTTAATCTCTCTGAGCTTCTTCCCTCATCTGTGGTGTTTTGTTTTGTTTTGTTTTGTTTTGTTTTGTTTTGTTTTAAGAGATAACTGTAGTGCAGTCAATTCTCATGATTCTCGGTATAAAGTTCTATCAAGCCACTGCGAACACTCAGTTAATGGATACTGGAACTGTACCGGCCGGTTCGTGTGAGTCTTTGGCCACATTTTTGTCAACCGACCAAGTCATCAAGACACCTCGTGTAATATACTCACAGCCAAGTGCACCATACCCTGGACCAAAAGGAACCTCACGTGCTGCCCCTCTTATTCCCCATAAGGCCCAGTGCAGCCTTGAACTTGGGGACACTAGATAGCACTTCAGCAATCCATTTGGGGGGCATTTCAAACAATGACATCACCACCAAAAAGCACGAAAATAGAACTCCATGGCACTCAACAGACCACAAAAGGGTCACTGGTTTGCAGTGTGAGAGTTGAAAAAGGTAGGAGCCAAAGGTCTTTTTCAACCTCATCTGCAAATGTGCCCATCAGGCGACTCCTGTCTCTTGCAATCTGGACAGTCCCATGAAAGGCCATGGTTATAATTTGTTGGTTTAAGTGCTTTTCAATGAGGAGGTGAGATCACCAATAGACAATGCGTGAATGCCAAAGACCAAGCATCTCTCCCTCACGGGATGGCTGGTATTAGAGGATGGAGGAGTCCACGCCCAATACAATCATCACTATCATCAAGGTGAGAGGGGAGGTCAACCACATCTAGACATTGCAGCATCCCAGTATTGCTATCCTTCCATCCCAGCCACTACCTGGCTTGCCTTTCCTTTGTTACCAACCAGCTATGACCATGACAGGGTTGGTAAAAATATACCATTACCAGGAGACTCGATTGAGCTTAGCTCAGTGGGTGCTGAGTGAGTTGTTCTGAATGTAACCTGGCAGATGCCACTGCAGGGGACCAAGGCGGTTACCTCTCCTCCTGTGGCAGCCTCTCCTCCTGGGCAGCCTGCTTCAGAGCCTCTCTTTGGGTGCTCACGAGGTCCCTCAGCTCCTGTAGTGCTGCCTCATGTTGGAGCTGGTCCTGCTCCCTGAAGAGGGAAACAAACCCGCTAGGCACCCACACACAGGATAATGCACAGCCTCTGTGAGTGGCTTCTCTCTGCAGAGCTGAGGGCTGCGGTAATGGGCAGGAGTCTCCTCAAGCCCCAGAGCCAAGTGTCTCTCTTCCCACCCAACACGTCTGCAGGGTCCCTTCCCGTCTCTGTCTCAGCAGCCTCTCTCCATGAGCCCGCTTGGAACACCAACACTGTTTTCTGAACTTCACACCCTTCTCACAGAAACCAGCACATATTCAGGGAATTCCACCCACATGACAGCCGACCTCCCACCACACCAGGGCCTGGGGAGCACTCTGCCCAGATCCAGAACAGCCTCCCTATGCTGAGTCAGGCAGCGTGGGGGCCAGAGGCCTGCCCATTGGGGACCAAGCAGCTGCCAGGGTCCATTGGCACATAGGCACATGCACATCCACTCAGCCTGTTCCTCCAGTAACCTCCAGTCCAGCCCTTACCTTCCCCTCAGGTCCCCCTCATCTCCCCCTCAGTTCAGCGCTTTTATTTTCTTCCTGTCTCAGTGTTTATAGGGTCATGGATTAAGTACATTCCAACCATTGGTGACCACCCTACTGCAGGGCAGAAACTAGAAGTCTCACTCCCCACTGAGTCAACGGGATGAGGCTTGATACCCAGGAAACATGTGCTGGGGAACGAAGGACTGAGGGTCCTACTCAGGCGTCAAGTGAAATGAACACAGACCCACCAGCCTGTGCTGCAGGCACCTCCACCTCCCACCCTGTAGCCCTGCTGCAGACAGACCAAGGGCTCCAGCTCTCTGTGCACCTGCAAACACTACCTAATAACACAGGAGGTCTATCTAGCAAGGAGCTACCAGTAGAATGACAATGAAACACTCCTTCAGAGCCAGTGAGATGCCACTTGCACAAACCTTCCCCATGTGAGCAGACATTAAGAATATCATGGAAATATCCAAGATGGCAGCATAGGTAAACACTGGAGTTTGCTGCCTCACACAACCACTTCAAAAATACAACTAAAAGACGGAACGGACATCACCCAGAACCACAGGAAGGCTGGCTGAGTGGAAATTCTACAACTAGAGGAAAGAGAAAAGCATACTGAGACTCAGAGGAGGTGCGGAAGTAAAATACTAAGGTAAAGAGGTGCACGTGGAGCGGGCTGGCAGCTGAGGGCACACTTGTCTTTTTCAATCGAGAGGGAGTCTCAGGCTCTGAGCTCCAGTTGCTAGGGAGTCTCTGGGGACCCAGACTCATACGTGAGAAGTGGGACTGTCTGGCATTGGTCAGAACTCAAGGGCAGCTTTCTCTCAGAGGTACTTGCAGCAATTGCTGGGACACTGAGAAGCGGGGCCTCTGAAGGCAGAACTGAGAGCAGCCATAACTGTTTGCACTGCCCACCCTGTTGATCCCCTGGGACCTGCCTAGCCCAAGCCTTGCACAGAGGCATTTGCTGGATAGCCTCAGGCAGAGGCTAGATTAGCACCTCCCTAGAGCTTCAGGACAGAAGTTCTCCCACTGCAGACACAGCTGATTCTCACAGCCAATTGGCCTCGAGGCCAATCCCTCCCAGTGTTACCTACAACAATCAAGGCTTAACTACAACAAGACTGTGCACAAAGACCACAAGGGGGTGCACCAAGAGTGTCGTCCTCAAGTAATTGGGGAGGCTGAACCACTTGGCCAGGGGTGGGCAAACTTTTTGACTCGAGGGCCACAATGGGTTCTTAAACTGGACCGAGGGCTGGAACAAAAGCATGGATGGAGTGTTTGTGTGAACTAATATAAATTCAACGTAAATATCATTACATAAAAGGGTATGGTCTTTTTTTTTTTTTAGTTTTATTCATTTCAAACAGGCCATATACAGCCCACAGGCCATAGTTTGCCCATGGCTGCACTGGGCCCTAGAGGACACTTAGCACAGGAAACCACTTTATCAACACAAGGAAGCATAAAAAATGCGGAGACAAAGAAACAGGACACAAATGACAGAAATGGAGGAAAGCAAACTGCTGGATATAGAGTTCAAAACCACACTTTTAAGGTTTTTCAAGAACTGTCTAGAAGCCGACGATAAATTTAGTAAGACCCTGGAAAAGACTGGTGAGAACGCCTATAAATGTAGTAAGATCCTCAAGAAATCTAGCGAGACCCTCGATGTTGTGATAAAGGACCAACTAGAAATTAAGCATACACTGAGTGAAATAAAGAATATTGTATGCCGAAACCGGTTTGGCTCAGTGGATAGAGCGTTGGCTTGTGGACTGAAAGGTCCCAGGTTCGATTCCGGTCAAGGGCATGTACCTGGGTTGCGGGCACATCCCCAGTAGGAGATGTGCAGGAGGCAGCTGATCGATGTTTCTCTCTCATCGATGTTTCTAACTCTCTATCTCTCTCCCTTCCTCTCTGTAAAAAATCAATAAAATATATTTTTAAAAAAAGAAAAAAAGAATATTGTACAGACTCCCAACAGCAGACCACAGGATCGCAAGAATCAAGTCAAAGATTTGAAATACGAAGAAGCAAAAAACACCCAACCGAAAAAGCAAAATGAAAAAAGAATCCAAAAATAAGAAGGTGATGTAAGGAGCCTCTGGGACAGCTTCAAGCATACCAACATCCAAATTATAGGGGTGCCAGAAGAAGAGAGAGAGCAAGATATTGAAAACCTATTTGAAGAAATCATGACAGAAAACTTCCCCTACCTGGTGAAAGAAATAGACTTCCAAGTCCAGGAAGCGCATAGAACCCTAAACAAAAGGAATCCAAAGAGGACCACACCAAGACACATCATAATTAAAATGCCAAGAGCAAAAGACAAAGAGGGAATCTTAAAAGCAGAAAGAGAAAGAAAGTCAGTTACCTACAAGGGAGTACCCATACAACTGTCAGCTGATTTCTCAACAGAAACTTTGCATGCCAGAGGGAGTGGCAAGAAATATTCAAAGTGATGAATGCCAAGAACCTAAAACCAAGATTATTACTTTATCCAGCAAAGCTATCATTCAGAATTGAAGGTCAGATAAAGAGCTTCACAGATAAGAAAAAGCTAAAGGAGTTCATCACCAACAAACCAGTATTAAATGAAATGCTGAAAGGTATCCTTTCAGAAGAGGAAGAAGAAGAAAAAGGTAAACATACAAATTATGAACAACAAATACACATATATCGACAAGTGAATCTAAAAATCAAGTGAATAAATCACCTGATGAACAGAATGAACGGGTGATTATAATAGAATCAGGGGCATAGAAAGGGAATGGACTGACTATTCTTGGGGGGGGAAAGGGTGTGGGGGATGCGGGAAGAAACTGAACAAAAATTGCGCATCTATGAATGAGGACAGTGGGTGGGGAGTGAGGGTGGAGGGTGGAGTGGGTACTAGGTGAGGGGAGTTATGGCAGGGGAGGAGGAAGAAATGCAATAATCTGAACAATAAAGATTTAATAATAAAAAAAGAGGGAAAAAAGAATATAATGACACTGTTATAACCACATCATAGGGCCTGACGGCAACTGGTGAGGGGTGGGCACCACACGAGTCTCCCCTCATTATTCAGCTGGGTTTAGCACCACACGCCCCACAGAAGCTCACTAAGCATCACGGGAGTTTGGGATGGGTGCAGGAGGAGGCAGAGAGGGGGATGCTAAAAAGCAGAAGATGCTCATTCTGGCTGGAAGGAACAGAGTCTGGTAGGAGCAGACATCTTGGCACCCCCCAGAGGATGGAGCACTTGGAGGATAAAGGGGGTGGAAAGCCCTGTGGAGTCTACAGGAAGCACCGGGTTCGTGAATAAATGAATGTCATGGCCCCCACACTCACGGCAGCTGCAGGCACCCTCAGCAGGCTCGGCTGGCTCAATGCCTTCCCAGACCCTGTGATAGAAACTCCCTGCACCTCAGCTGCTTACACTACTGAAGACCCCACGTTTGCTCAGTGTCTTTGAGGAGGATTCAAAGGAAATGCTGTGAGCAGGGGTGTCTCACAAGCATAGGAAGTGGACAACAGCTCTCTCCTGTGCTGCCCCAAGTGTGGGAGAACCTCTCTTTAGCCACATCTCTCCCCCTCTCTCCTCATTTGGTATCCTGTGCACATCAGACCTCCCCCAAGCTCTGTATGCTACTGCCCCTGCCCCAGGACCCGGAGCAATCTGGGATCTGCTGGAGCAGGAGCTCTGTGACGTTGGTTGACTGCACGCACACAAAGCCCTGATCTGGCAGAAGCTCAAAGTTGAGATTTGTGCATGTCAATGGACATCAATTTTACCTTAAAAAAAGGAGTATGGAGGTGGAGAGTCAGAGGTAAAGGTGACATGAGATGGGCACAGTATCGAAGTACTGATGTCATGGATGAATACCTGGGAATCACACTATACAATTCTGCACATTCCCATATATTCAAAAGTTTCCAAATTTAAAAGTTAAAAAAACACACACAGAAGCCCAGACTTTGAGACTTTGAAAGAGAAGAGGCCTGGAAGCTGGTGAGGCACATCCTTGTACATCGGAAGCTGTGGTGAGCGCCCCCTCCTTGTTCTTGGTTGGGAGAGAAGAGGAAGAGGGGGCAGGAACCCCAGGGGAGCACAGACCCCAATGCTGACACATCGTTTCCCTGAGCCGGGATCAGGTGGGCACACCATCCTCCCCTGGGGGACCCCCCTGCCCCTCAGCCTCCAGCTGCACCCACCCCACATCGCATAGGGGGGAGTTCCATTCACTTCTCTTCCCTGTGAAGCAGCAGATCCAGAGGAACTATGAGGGACCAGAGCAAAGGGGGACAGGAGCCTGGAGAGCTCGCTAGTCACCCTGACAGTTGACGGCACCCACCTACGCCTGAACGCCTTGCTCTCCATTTCTAGGGAACGATGCAGCAGGGTCTTGTAGCGGCTGTGTTCATCCAGGAGGGCCTGGTACTGTACTTTATTGATGGTCTCCATCTTCTGGGTCTTTTCTTTTTCTTTGTGGAGTAGCATCTCCCACTTTTCCATCTGCAGAGCGAAAGACCCAGCCCCTGTGAAAGTCTGTTTCACAGAGTGAACTTTACTCTAAAGCAAGCCCTAAACCTCTTACCTCATGGAACACTTTAACAGGCTTTTTCTCAAGGATGAACCTTCCTGCCCACTTCTTGGGGAGGTACAACAGCCACTGCCAAGGCTGGCAGAGGGGGAAGCCTCGTCCCTGGGTAAAATCAATGAGCAGCTGCCCCAGTGCTCGGATGCCTTCCCTGGGACTTGTGGTAGTGCCAGGCAAATCCACCCTGGAGGTTTGCCAGGGTTCTCAGGGTGACCTTGGACAATGGAGCAGGATCATTCTTTGTCCTGCGGGGCTGTCCTGGGGGCTGCAGGACATGGAGCAGCATCCCTGGCCTCCAGGCGCAAAGCCAGAAGCACAACCCCTCTCCTCCCCCAAGTCCTGTCAATAAAAAACAAGATGGCCAGTGTTCCTGGGCAGAGATACCTGTCCTCATCCTGCTGCTGTGCTGAGGATTGCTTCTCTGAGCTGCAGCTGAGCGAGGAAACTGGTCACCCAGGAATCACTTATCAATGACCAGGACAGGGCTGTGATCCTGGACACTCCCCATTGTAGGCAGGGGCACCAGGGGAGGCACAAGCTCTGGGGGTGCCTACCTGAATGGCTCTGTCCACCTTCAGGGTGTCAACTTCATTGAGCAGCTGCTCTAGGGCTTTAACGAGCTCCTCAGTGAGGGTCTCCCACTCCTGGCTGCTGTTCTTCTCGTTCTGGAGTTCCATCTCCAACTGTTCCTTCTGCAGAGCCAAAGACCCAGCTGTGAAGCAGCTCATCCATAGTCCTATACACACGTGCATGGCTTCCATGACTGCTTCCCTCTCAGGCCCGCCCTGTGCTTTCTAACAGGGCGCTGCTTTCCTTTCAGTAAACACTATGTGCTCGGACCATTTACCTACGCTAACTCATATGATCCTCAAAACACCTACAGGGGGCACACCATTAATCCAATCTCACAGATGAAGATGAAGGCAATGGGGCACAGACACGTCCATAGTTTCCACTCACTCTGCTGCACGGACATGTCATGCTGCCTCGGACTCTGTTCCATGAGGACTCGTGTCCCGCTACCATAACTGGTGCTGCCCTGCATTCTGCATTTCTCCCAGTTTCACATCCACACCAACACCTGGGTGCACCACCTAACCACCTGCTTGCACGTATGTTCTGTACACCACCCACCGATACCTGCTTCTGGAGCTGCTGGTTCTCCTCCTGAAGCTCCGTGCACCTCAGGCTGCTGTCCTGCCGGGCCACGGAGGCACCCCGAATCTCCTGGACCACGCCCTGGAGGGTCTGGTTTTCTAGGATACGGTTGGAGGCTAAAAGAGTAAAAGTTGAGTCAGAGCCCACATTGCATGGCCTGGGCTTCCACTCTCTGCCCCCGGCCCCAAGACAACCACCACCCTGGGCCGTAGATTGGAGTGACCTGGGACGGTAGGCTGGGTCCCCTCAATTTTTCACAGGCTGCTGTTGCTGTAGGCACCTGAGTGTTCCTCAGGCCATTATGGCCCCTCTTCTGGCTCAGCTGGGGCCTGGTAAGGAAGCAACCCAGAGCTTAAAAAGAAAGAATGTGATGGTGGAGAGGCCAATGCAAAACCTCAACTTGGTACAACTGCTGGAACCGCTATTTACCAAGTTCTAACCTGGCCATCAAGTCATGGATTTCAGAGAGTAACAGAGATGGCAAAGATATGGAGTTTTCTGGGCCAGCTCTCAGAGTGATGGGGGTTTGGGTGGCTCAGCTCAGGGTGTGGGTGCTGTGATAATTGACCAGTATGTCTGCAGGTGGTAGAGGCTCTGAGGCAAGTATGCCCAGTACTTACCATCCCTGGGCAGGGCCTTCAGATGGAGATTTCATTTTGTACTTTTACAATAGCATTGAAAAAATAATTATACAGTACATCTAAATGGCTTGAAAAAGTCTAAGCGAGATCAAAACATAAGGTAAGGACAGAAGAATGCAGATTTCCTCCTTTCCTTTTACACAGCTTGAACACAGAACAGAAAGAGGAGCACAGACCTGGGAAGAACGGGAGTTCTCAGCCCCTTTCTGCCACACACAGGTACGTGATTTTAGGTAAATGAATGTGTGAGGGGTCAGGGTGCTCCCTCACCTGTCCCTCTAGGGCCACATCCTCAAACCTGGGACCCTACTGACACTGCTCTGCTCCTATGGCTGCACCCCATCTGCTTCCTATTCACCCCCTCGGGGATGGAAGGACCTAGAGTGGACGCCGGCTTTCACCCCAGCACATGAAGGTGGATGTGATCAGCTCCCACCAAGGAGAGCAGCACAGACCCAAGAAGCCAGAACAGACTGAAGACCCCAAGCAGCAGTCAACTCAGCAGTGGTGCAGATGAACCTTCGTGGCCCAACTCCAGCTCAGCGCACCCCACAGACAAACACACATGCTGTCAACACATGGAAGCACGCCAAGGGCTTCATCCTTACAAGGCTACCAATGACACTAACAGCAGAATACTCCACTAAGTCACAACCTGTGCTCATTCAATGGCACCTTTGCAGCATTCGCTTTAAAAATATCAGTTTTATGAATCGGGATGAGCCCAGTCAGTGTGGATTAGCGATAGAGTGCCAACCTATGAACCATGAGGTAATGGTTCGATTTCAGGTCAGGGTATATGCCCAGTTTGTATGCTCCATGCCTTGCATGGGGCAGGCAGGAGGCAGCCAATCAATAATTCTCTTTCATCTTTGATATTTCTCTCTCTCTCCCCTTCTGCCTTCCTCTCTGAAATCTATAAAAATGCATGTTATGAAGATTGGGGTGAAATAAATGTACAACACTGGGTTCACCATTTTAACTATTTTTCAGTGTATAGTTTTGAGCCATTAGATGCATCTCTTCTGTCCTGCAACTCACCCAGCCCACCTCCTGACTCACTCAGTGCCTCACCCTGTGGTTCTGTGCTACTGGGAAATGATTGTGAAGAATCGCCAAGTGCTGCAGTGGAGCTGATGACCAGCCTCATTTCTTCTCCCCTAAAGGCCAGCCCCTCAGAGGCTCTTATGTTGACACAGCATTTTATGGGGAAAAAACAATGGTTGTCTACTGCGTACTGTGTTCACATACACCTCAAGAAGCAGATCAAAGGGGGTCTTTTAATTCAACAAGGGTGTTGAGGACAGCCATCTTTGTTGGTGCCCTTGTGGCCAGGCACAGCGTAAGGCTTCACTGTCTCCTCTCAGGAGGTACACATAGCAATCCTGTGAGGCAGCTTCATTACCCCATTTTGCAGATAAGAAAACAGAGGTTCAAAAGAGGTCACCTGGCTAACAGTTGGAGGAGCCAGGACTTGAATCCAGGCCTTTCTGACTCAAGATGCCACCACACCATCCTCGCAAAAGTACATTCACACTTTGTTTTTGAATGTCAGTTGTACTGGAGTTAGTCCCCACTGGTAAGGCTCCTGCTAGCTAAGCAGCAGAAGTGTGAACACCAAGAAGTAGTCAAGGGCACTGAACTGAAAGGGTTCACAAACTACACAGAGGGCCTGAATCAGGGAGACTTCCCAACCCACCAGCCTCCCTGGTCTCTAACAGAAACATGAGGTCTGAGAGATCCCTGCCAGCTGGCCCCACTCCTGCCTTCCACCAGGGGGCAGTGGTCCTCCCCATGAACCTGAACACTTGGCAGTGGTCCTCCCCAGGAACCTGAAGTCCTAGAACAGGGATCCCTGTTTGGACCACACTTGGTCCCAGGAGTGCCGAGATAACAAACCCAGAAAAAAAACTGGCTTCTCACACAGATTCACAGTTCAATGAACTGATTTTAGGTTTGGAACTGATGGGAACCCTTGAAGAGAAGGAATATCCAGGTTCTTTCAACAGTCTCTCCATGATGCTTAGGAATGTTGCTCAATATTGGAAAAGCAGCACCTTTCCCCCGCCCCAACACACCCAAGGCCCTCCTGAGCTCTGCAGAGATCTAAGCACACCTTCACCTGCAACGTCAGGTGCACATGTGATGTTCTTGAGCACAGGAATTGGCTACTTGTTTGCTGGGTGCACTGCCTGCCCCCAGACCACTTTCCCCTGGCCAACCCCACACCTCCTAAGGGGCTGTGAGGGGGCAAACACAAGAGGGATTGGAAGAGGCCTGGCTCCCCTCAAAAGCCAACAGGAAGCAGGCCCTGCCCAGGGGGGACAGAGTACAGACTGCACCCATCTGTCCAATTATGAAATGAATGGAGGAAATCATGCCCAGGGTCAGGTATACTGGAGGTTAGTAATCACTGGGGAAGTCTCCTGCCATCCAGAGCTTTTAATCCCCCACAGACAGATCGAAGACATCCTAAGGGTGCCAGCGTGCTGTCATCTGGAAGCTCCTGGGACTGTCCACATGGGAGCTGAGAAATCTGTTACTTTGTAATTCATGTCCTCACGTCAAGGCTGCCAGACCCTTCATGTTCTCCTTGGGGAGAATTGCAATGACACAGTTCCAAATGGCTTTTAAATAAAATCTTATTCCCTTGGGGTGAGGATGAGCTGACAATGAGATTCAGATCCAAGAGCTCAGCTCCCTGGATGAGGAAGCCACATCCAGGCTGACTCCCAGGCACCAGGGGCTGCTACCTACCTTCTGACAGCTGCTCCATCTCCCAGCTCAGGTGGGCAGGCTGGTTCATCCTCTGGACCTGTTCAGCCTCGAGGGCCATGCTGTCCCCCAACAGCTCCTCAAGAAACCGCTGGGGAATGTGTCCACGATCCTAGTGCAGGAAGAGGGGTGGGGTGAGGATGTACCCCGGGGCACCCTCTGGACAGGCCCCACCCCCATGCATCTATCCTCATTCCCCCAGAATGAAGGGCCTCCATACACCTTCTCAATTCCAAAAACACAGCTGCACAGAAGTGACTCCAACACAGAGCCCAGCTGGGAGACCTACAGCCACTAACAGACATGCTGACCAAGTGGCCTAGGTGATGAAGACACCCAATGTCTCTCAGTGGTGTCTGAACAAAGGGGCGTACAGCACTGGGCTTTAAAGCAAGGAATATGATGATGGGCAGTTCTGCGGCTCCTTAGCAGGTTTAACATGTCTTGGAAAGGTTTTAGGGACTTCCAAATCACAGCGCAACCCACATGTTCAACACTAGTAGAGACCCTTTTTGCAATAGTCACCCACCTACATCCATCCTTACAGAAAAGCAACACAGCAGTCAGGCCCTATCTGGTTTTGAGGTTTTTTTAAACATTCACTCACACACACACACACACATATTTTAAATAAATAAAATGTATTTTACATATATATATATCACAGAGAGGAAGGGAGATGGAGAGATAGAAACATGAATGATGAGAGAGAATCATTGATCGGCTGTCTCTCACAGGCAACCCCTGGGTAAGGTTCCTCCAACCTGGGCATCAGCCCTGGCCAGGAAGGCCTGGTCTGTTTTGAAGACCTTAAATGTTGCCCAGTCCAGTCAAGCCACTGAGCTTAATAAGAAACTCTTCACCATCAGCAGGTCACTATGTCGGCAAAAGCAACAAACCAGTAGCAGAAAGTCAGAGAAGGGCACCGCATAAACCTAACAGTGCCCCAATCTGTTGTACATGTGGTACAAGAGGGTCTGACATGTACAGCTACTGATAGGCATGAGATTTCGCTGAGCCCATTTCCATAACAAGGAAGGGGTGGGCTAAGAGTCTGTCCAGGGTTTAAGTGCTGAGTCTAGGCCTCTCAATTCCACTGTCACTCCATTGATCTGGGGCTGGAAATAAATAGCTATTCGGGCAAGCTTTTATTCAACACACAGTTCCTATCTGAACAGTTTCCACGTGTCCTCTTGGAAAACCAACAGCTCTCGGCAGTTTCCTGGAAATGAGGGCTCAGACACAACAAATAACACTATGGGCCTCTGGATGTCAGGCACATGCTGGGTGTGGGACGCCATGGCTGGTCCCTCGCAGGTCCCCTCACAGGAGGAGTCTGCTGGACTTACTCCTGTCCCAGTGCCCAGCACACATGGGGGAGCCATTTGGCTCTTTCCCCTCATCTCTGCTCCCTTCCCAGAGCCCTCCCAGAACCACGGGGTGTCTTAGGGGTCTGAGTCTCCCCTGAATGCCTTCACAGTGTGGGAACACGCATCCAAGGGATTGACCATTTCTCTCTGTGGCAGTTTTCTCTATTCAGGGTTTCTAATGACTGTGAGGAGGCGGTAACTGCTGCCTTTCCATCTTCTGTCCATTTTCCCCTAAGGAGCCTGAACCCAAGATTCTTGGTAGAAGGGAAGCCATGGACCTCCCATCAGTGGACATAGTTTTGATAAAAGCCTGGCAGCCGGAAGGGTTTGCTCACAGACTATGGATTCACCTGGGCACTGTCTCTCTGCCCATCCAGAGCCCTGCACTAGGCGCCCTCTGTCCTTGAAACATTCACTCTCCTCAACAGCCCTGAGCGGGAGGCAGGGACAGTCACTTCTTACACATGAAGAGGCTCTGCACTCACCGATTCTGCTCTCACCGACTCTAAGTTCACCGACTCTAAGTTCACCGACTCTATGTCCACCGAATCTACGTCCACCAACTCTTCACACACCGACTTTTCACACACTGACTCTGCACTCAACCGACTCCACACCACCAACTCCACGTCCAACGACTCTGCACCTCACATTCCACTGTTTCCATGCCACCCATTTCAAACTGCCCTATGGGCCGCATTCTAAACTGCTCTGCAAGCAGCTCATGCCCAATGTTAACTGCTTTGAAATACACAAATATTAGGACACTCTCCCTATGAAACTTAAAACCTATCTGGGTAAAGAAAATATAAAGAAACAAAAAGTTGATAATAAATGGAAATTAACTACTTCATTCTAACTTTGTCTACCACATTTCTAATAATTATTGTTTTCCCATCAGCTGAATTATTGAAATCAATCTGTTCCTTTTAGGTAACAACACATCATTTTATTTTGTGGAGTCTTATCTAGAGAGCTCAGCTCCCAGCCAACTGCCTAAGAAACAATTTCACAAATGATTCACTAATGTGTAGTTTATAAGAAAAATGAACAAAGTAAAGCTGTATGTTGGGAAAATACTTTATTTACTTAATTTAAAATATATATTTTTATTAAGTTCAGAGGGAAAAGAAGAAGGAGGGAGGTATATAAACATCAATGATGAGAGACAATCATTGATAGGCTGCCTCCTTCATGCCCCATAATGGGGATCAAGCCCCCAACCTGGACATGTGCCTGATCGGGCATGGAATAGTGATTTCCTGGTTCATAGTTTGACGCTCAATCACTGAGCCACAACAGCCTGATTGGAAATTATTTTAACAAAAAGATATTGTACATAGATTTATGTGAAAGGAGTCTTAAATTAGCAACTGCAAGAAAGACATTTAGAGAGCAAATATGCAGGTATCCTCTGAACAGAATTTAAACATTTAGGCTGGCTGGGGAAACCAAAATGGTGGCATAGGTAAACACTGGAAATTGCTTCCTCACACAACCACTTTAAAAATACAACTAAAAGTCAAAACGCACATCATCCAGAACTAAAGGAAGGCTGGCTGAGTGGAAATTCTACAACTAGAAGGAAAGAGAAAAGCAATGAGACTCAGAGGAGGTGTGGAAGTAAAGTGCAGATGTACGGAGGTGCAAGTCAAAAGGGCTGGCAACTGAGGAGTGGCGCACATGGAGAGGGCTGGCAGCTGAGGACACGGTTGTCTTTTTCAATCGGGAGGGAGTCTCAAGCTCTGAACTGCTCTGAACTCCAGTTCCATGTGAATCTTTGGGGACCCAGACTCATACGGGGAAAAACTGGACTGTCTGGCATCAGGCAGAACTCAAGGGTGGCTTTCTCTTAGAGGTGCTTGCAGTGATTAAAGGGAGCCTGGGATGTGGGCCTCTTAGGGTGGGACTGGGGAGAAGCCATAGCTGCTTGCTCCGCCCTGTTGATCCCCTGAGACCCCACCATACCCAAGCTGTGCACAGAGGCTTTGCATATGAAAGGCTGGCCCTTTGAAATCTGAAAATTACCCAACAAACTGCAGCTGAATCAGAGATACCCAGAACTTCCAAAAGAAGGTCCAAGGCCCCACAGCAGCTTGCATTGCTTCACAGCTGGGCCTCATCTGGGCACCTCCAATCCACAAACAAAGAAGAGGAATCTCTCCTTAGCTCCTGTTGTGTAGCCTCAGGCAGAGGCTAAATTAGCAGCACCTTAGAGATCCAACAGCCAGTGTCCCCAGGGGTCAGAGTGGGAACATCCAGATTACAACTCCTCAGATCCATAAGGGACACACTCAGTGGGCAGACTCAGAGCACCAAAGTCCCACTGAAGCAAGTCTTGCCCCAGAAGAATGTCTCTAGCTCAGAAGTTCTCCCACTGCAGATACAGCTGATTCTCACAGCCAATTGGCCTGGAGGTCAATTCCTCCCAGTGATACCTACAACAATCAAGACTTAACTACAACAAGACTGTGCACAAAGCCCACAAAGGGGTATACCAAGAGTGTCCACCTCAGGTAATTGGGAAGGCTGAGCCACTCGTCCCTATAGGACACCTAACACAGAAAGTTACTCTATCAACACAGGGAAGCATAAAAAATGCAGAGACAAAGAATCAAGTAACAAATTACAGAAATGAAGGAAAGCAAACTACTGGATATATAGTTCAAAAATCACACTTTCAATGTTTTTCAAGAACTTTCTAGAAACCACCGATAAATTTAGTGAGACCCTCAAGAAATCTAGTGAGACCGCTGATAAATTTAGTGAGACCCTCAAGGTTATGAAAAAGGACCAACTAGAAATTAAGCATACACTGACTGAAATAAAGGATATTATGCAGAGTTCCAACAGCAGATTATAGGATCACAAGAATCAAGTCAAAGATTTGAAATACGAAGAAGCAAAAATCACCCAACCAGAAACACAAAAAGAAGAAAAGAATCCAAAAATATGAAGATAGTGTAAGGAGCCTCTAGGACTTCAAGTGTACCAACATACGAATTATGGCGGTGCCAGAAGAAGAGAGAGAGAAAGATATTGAAAACCTATTTGAAGAAATCATGACGAAAACTTCCCCTACCTGGTGAAAGAAATAGACTTACAAGTCCAGGAAGCACACAGAACCCAAAACAAAAGGGATCCAAAGAGGACCACACCAAGACACATCATAATTAAAAGGCCAAGAGCAAAATACAAAGAGAAAATCTTAAAGCAGCTAGAGGAAAGCAATCAGTTACCTACAAGTGAGTACCCATATGACTGTCAGCTGATTTCTCAACAGAAACTATGGAGGGCAGAAGGGAGTGGCAAGAAATTCAAAGTGATGAATAGCAAGAACCTACAACTTGGATTACTTTACCCATCAAAGCTATCATTCAGAATTGAAGGTCAGATAAAGAGCTTCACAGGTAAGAAAAAGCTAACGGAGGTCATCACCACCAAACCAGTATTATATGAAATGCTGAAAGGTATCCTTTAAGAAGAGAAAGAAGAAGAAAAAGGTAAAGATACAAATTATGAACAACAAATACATATCTATCAACAAGTGAATCTAAATATCAAGCAAGTAAACAATCTGATGAACAGAATAAACTGGTGAATATAATAGAATCAGGGCATAGAAAGGGAGTGGACTGACTACTATCAGGGCGGAAAGGGGTTTGGGGGTGTGGGAAGAAACTGGAAAAAATTGTACACCTATGGATGAGGACAGTGGGTGGCAGGGATAAGGGCAGAGGGTGGGGTGGGAATGGGTGGAGGGGAGCTATGGGGGGAAAAATGAGGAACAACTGTGATAATCTGAATAGTAAAGATTTAATAGTAAAAAAACATTTAGGCCGTAAATAAATGAGCTAATATCGTTTTAATTATTTCTAAACTAGTAATGATTTTACTTGTTAATTAAAAATTCATTCTTAATTTAAAATAAATGTAAATTGTTTTAAGTAGATGAAATCTTTGGACTTATGATGGGGGAGTATTGATTATCATTTCTGTTAATTACCTAGCTTCACTAACTGCTATAAAATTGCTTAAAGTGAAACCAGACAACCGAATGGGCCCAGGCTGCTGGTTAATACTTGAACGAATGTAGCAGAGACTGGGTTGACTCATATATGGTGTTTATTCCATTAATGTGGGCAGAATGGGAGAGCAGCAGGTCATCCACAAACATCGGCTCTACTCACACCGTAAGCCAGATTCTTCTCTTGGGTAGAATGATACAGACTCCATGGGAAAGTAGAAATTACACGCATAGGGAAGTAGGCAAGGTACAGTGGTTACAGGTTACAGGCAATGTGGGTTGGGGGTTCGTAAGGGGCTGGTGCCTCAGGGACCAGCTTAAAGGCAACCAGGTTGTTAATCTAGGCTGTTCTGGGGAAAGGAGGATGGCTGGATTCCCATGTCAGCTCCCATGCCCCAGGGCGTACAACTCTCAATCAGAACGTAACAATCACAGTTAACAGAGCCAGATTAATATTTCTTATTATTATAGCTAGTCCCCATATTCTATTCCTGCCCCTAACAAAAGTACAAAAATGAAAAGAAATCACACCTAAATCTGTTTTTTTTTCATAACTACCTCAATCAATTCCTCTTGTAAAATCTAGCCCATAAACTTAACATGCTTCATTTGTGGGAGGCATGATGAGATTTAAAATGATGTCAAACGAACTGTGATCTAAACTGGAAACAAATTTATAGATGTTGTGAGCTGACCTGAGAACACAGCAAATTACTTATAATTGAAAGAATCTTGATATATTGAAAATTACTTCTTTTATCATTATGCAAATCAAGATTTCAATAACTGTTGAATTTATGTTAATGAGATAGTAACTGGATGCTAAGATTTTCCACTCTCTGCTCCCAATATTCAGGGTCAACATTTCAGAGAAATGATGCAAAATTTATGAACCTAGAGCTGTCTTAAGGAAAATTCATAACAATGACACAGAAAACAGGATGAGGCCGACTGAAACCACAATAGAGTGAGTGCCAGCTTAGCACAGTGATGAGCATGTTGCAGACATTGTACCTCATTTAATCCACTCAAAGTCATCAAGGTGTTCCATGAACTCCCATTGACTTAGCTGTATTTTGGATCTCAGATATACAGAAATTTAAGGAGTAATCCAAGGTTTTCTATCCTAAAACTTGGTTCCATGACCTGGCCAGTGTTGCTCAGTTGGTTGGAGCACCGCTCTACACACTGAAAGGCTCTGGGTTCAATTCCCAGTCAGTTTTCATACCTAGGTTGGGTGTTCAGTTCCCAATGGAAGTGCCTATGAGAGGCAACCAATTGATACTTTTCTCTAACATCAACATTTCTCTCTCCTCCACCCCTCCCTCTCTCTCTCTAATGAGTAAGCATATCCTCAGGAGAGTATTGAAAGACAAAATGAGTTCCACTAGGTCTAAGAAGTTAATTTTCAAATTTTAGTTTAAATTCTTGCCAAATTTCCCAATAGTTTCAAAGAATACCTTGGAGTAAACTAAACCAGCAATAACATTTCTTTATTTATATAAGCAGTTTTACTGCACCTAAGCCTGGTCCACCTGGCTCAGTAGTTGAGCATCTATCTATGAGCCAGATGGTCATGGTTTGATTCCAGGTCAAGGCACATGCCACTGTTGTGGGCTCAATCCCCAGGATGGGTGTGCAGGAGGCAGTCAATCAATAATTCTCATCATTGATTTTTCTCTCTCTCTCTTCCTCTCTCTCTGAAACCAATTATATATATATAATGAAATTCTTTCTTTTTTAAAAAAATAAAAATAATAAAGGAAGGATAGAGAACTCACCCTGATTAGAGAGGGCAGTGGGTCTCAGCTAAAAACCTGGGAAGGATAAACAGACAAGCCCCCTCTCCTCCTAGGCTAACACCTCTGGTCCTAAACACCTCTGGCTAACACCTGTGACACCTGTGGGGCCTCTTCCAAAGTTATAGGATGATTCTGTTGGACAGCCCAGTCCAGCACCACAAGGTAAGGATGGAGGATGCTTAACTAACAGGGACTCACTGCACACAGGCCAATCACAGAGTCTCACCACAGAAACACAGTTGCCACTCAATCCCTCGGAACTCTTGCTGACCAGGCCGATCACCTGACTCATAGCTCCAACTACCTCCCAGACTTCCAGGATGGGTTCACGTCCACAGGGAACTCAAAGCACTTATGAATAAAAGTGACTCACCAAAGCTCTTTGCAATTTCCTCAGTTTCTCTACAGGCTCAGGGTCATAGCCCAGAACCCTCTGCATGTCATTGTCCTTCAGTACCAACATCTTTTCCAGCATAAAGCGAATCCTAAAAATATAAACACATGAAAGAGAAAGTCATCAATTTGAATAGCATGTTATTAAGTATTGATTGGGTTACCAATGACATCAAAGAAGAAATTAAAAACATCCTGGACACTAATGACAATGAAAACACAACAATCCAAAACCTATGGGACACAATGAAAGCAGTCCTGAGAGGGAAGTTTATAGCTCTGCAGGCCTATCTCAAAAAACAAGAAAAAATGGTAGTAAATCATCTAACTCTTCAACTCAAAGAATTAGAAAGAGAGCAACAAGAAAACCGCAGAGTGAGCAGAAGGAAGGAGATAATAAAGATTAGAGCAGAAATAAATGACATAGAGACCAAAAAAACAATACAGAAAATCAATGAAACCAAGAGCTGGTTCTTTGAAAGGATAAACAAGATTGACAAACCTCTAGCCAGGCTCACAAAGAAGCAAAGAGAGAGATCCCAAATAAACCAAATCAGAAATGATAGAGGCAAAATAACAACAGACCCCACAGAAATACAAATGATTGTTAAAAAATACTAGGGGCAACTCTACTCCAACAAACTAGACAACCTGGAGGAAATGGGCAAATTCCTAGAAAAATACAACATTCCAAAACTCAATCAGGAAGAATCTAAAAATCTCAATAGGCCAATAACTATGGAAGAAATTGAAGCAGTCATCAAAAAGCTCCCAGCAAACAAAAGCCCAGGACCAGATGGCTTCTCAGGGGAGTTTTACCAAACTTTCAAGGAAGAACTAAAACCTATCCTCCTCAGACTACTACAAAAAATTCAAGAGGAAGGAACACTTTCAAGCTCATTCTATGAAGCCAGGATCACCCTAATACCAAAACCAGGTAAAGACAACACAATGAAAGAGAATTACAGGCCAATATCCCTCATGAACATAGATGCCAAAATCCTCAACAAAATCTTAGCAAATCGGATACAACAGTACATCAGAAGGATCATACACCATGACCAAGTAGGATTTATCCGAGGAATGCAAGGATGGTACAACATCTGTAAATCAATAAACGTAATACATCACATAAACAAATTGAAAGAAAAAAACCACATGGTCATATCAATTGATGCAGAAAAAGCATTCGACAAAATCCAACACCCATTTTTGATAAAAACTCTCAGCAAGGTGGGAATAGAAGGATCATACCTCAACATAATAAAAGCCATATATGACAGGCCCACAGCCAACATCATACTCAATGCACAAAAACTAACACCATTTCCCCTAAGAACAGGAACAAGACAGGGATGCCCACTCTCACCACTCCTGTTCAACATAGTCCTGGAAGTATTAGCCATTGCAATTAGACAAGAAGAAGAAATAAAAGGCATCCAAATTGGAAAAGAGGAAGTAAAACTATCCTTATTTGCAGATGACATTATACATACAAAACCCTAGAGACTCCATCAAAAAACTACTAGACTTAATACATGAATTTGGCAATGTAGCAGGATACAAAATTAACCCCAAGAAATCTGAGGCATTTCTATACACCAATAGTGAACTTTCAGAAAGAGAGGTTATAAAAACAATCCCATTTACCATTGCACCAAAAAAATTAAGCTACCTAGGAATAAACTTAACTAATGAGCTAAAAGATCTCTACTGAGAAAACTACAGGACGTTGAAAAAAGAGATAGAGGAAGACATAAAGAGATGGAAGAACATACCGTGTTCATGGATTGGTAGAATCAACATCATCAAAATGTCCATACTACCCAAAGCAATCTATAAATTCAACACACTTCCCATTAAAATACCAATGGCATATTTCACAGATCTAGAACGAACTCTCCAAAAATTCATCTGGAATAAAAAAAGACCCCGAATAGCTACAGCAATCCTGAGAAAGAACAAAATAGGTGGGATCTCAATACCAGATATCAAGCTGTATTACAAAGCCACTGTTCTCAAAACTACCTGGTACTGGCAAAAAAAAAAAAAAAGACATAATAGATCAATGGAATAGAATAGAGACCCCAGAAATCGGCCCGAACCAATATGCTCAATTAATATTTGACAAAGGAGGGAAGAACTTACAATGGAGTCAAGATAGTCTCTTCAATAAATGGTGTTGGGAAAATTGGACAGATATATGCAAGAAAATGAAACTAGACCACCAACTTACACCATACACAAAAATAAACTCAAAATGGATAAAGGTCTTAAATGTACGACGGGAAACCATAAAAAATCTGGAAGAATCCAAAGGCAACAAAATCTCAGACATATGCCGAAGCAATTTCTTCACTGATACAGCTCCTAGACCTAGGGCATTGGAAACTAAAGAGAAAATGAACAAATGGGATTTCATCAAAACAAAATGCTTCTGCACAGCAAAAGAAACCATCAACAAAACAACAAGAAAGCCCACTGCTTGTGAAAACGTATTTGCCAATGTCATATCTGATAAGGGCCTAATCTCCAAAATATATAGGGAACCCATACAACTTAACAAAAGGAATATAAACAATCCAATCAAAAAATGGGCAAAGGATCTAAATAGACACCTTTCATAAGAGGACATTCAGAAAGCCAAGAGACATATGAAAACATGCTCAAAGTCACTAATCATCCGAGAGATGCAAATCAAAACAAGAATGAGGTACCATCTCACACCTGTCAGATTGGATATCATCAACAAATCAACAAACGACAAGTGCTGGAGAAGATGTGGAGAAAAAGGAACACTCACTGCTGGTGGGAATGCAGAGTGGTGCAGCCACTATGGAAGACAGTATAGAATTTCCATTTGACCCTGTGATCCCACTTCTAGGAATATATCCCAAGAAACCAGAAACAGAAAGAATATATGCACCCCTATGTTCATAGCAGCACAATTCACCATAGCTAAGATCTGGAAACAGCCTAAGTGCCCATCAGTAGATGAATGGATTAGAAAACTGTGGTACATCTACACGATGGAATACTATGCTGCTATAAAAAAGAAGGAACTCTTACCATTTGCAATGGCATGGCTGGAACTGGAGAGTATTATGCTAAGTGAAATAGCCAGTCAATGAAGGAAAAATACCACATGATCTCACTCATTCATGGATAATAAAGACCTTTATAAACTTATGAACAAAAATAGATACAGAGGCAGAGCTGCCTCCAACAGACTGTCAAACTGCAGCGGGAAGGCCGGGGAGGTTAGGGGGATGGAAGTGAGGGGGGGGAAGAGATCAACCAAAGGACTTATATGCATGCATATATGCATAACCAATGTACATAAGACACTGGGTGGTAGGGGAGGCCAGAGGATTGTCAAGGGCAGGGAAAAAAAGGAGACATATGTAATACTCTTTGTAATACTTTAAGCAATAACAAAAATAAATAAAAATAAAAAGTTTGAGGACCCCTGGTTTACAGGTTCTGGGAGGAACTCCCACATTGCCAAAATCAGTGAGCACATCATACAACTGTAGACCTGAACTTTGCATTCTGAGCTTAGTGTCCTTTAAAGGTTCTGAGGCCCAGGGGCTGGAAGAGTGGCAGGACAGTCCCAGGACTCCACTATCTCAGAAGCCACAAGAGTGGGAGGCCCAGAAATAAGCTCCACAAATCAGTACCCCTAAGCGATTCTTCATTTGCAGCAATCTGTGGAAACTAAAGTTCTGTTGAGAACTTGGCAACCACCACCATGATTCATGGGCTCTGCCTATTAGTATCTTTCCCCAGCCCCTGGGGATGACTGCATTATGTCAGTGCCTCAGTCCTAAGGGCACAATCTTGCCTAGTTGGCTATCTTTCAAGGGACTTCTGCTTCCTGTCCCCCAACTGGGATCCTCTCCCTTCAAGTTTCATTCCCAGCAGTTGGGAAGAGTTTAAAACCCTATTTCAGACAATGTCCCTCTTTTGTTCTCCACCATCGATGGCCCTAGGATCCTGAAAATTAAACTTAAACTTCTCTCCAAATACTTTGCCTCATTTTCTCTGTTGCCTTTAGATACAAAACAAGCCCAGGATTCCCGAGTCCTCCCAGCTCAGCCCCACCAACCAAAATCTGACAGGGTGGCATTGCAGCCTGTCACCCTCTTTCACACATCACACCATGTATCACCCACAGGTGACTCACTGTTCTGGACTCAGTGACCTGGGTTTCAGGATCTGACAGGCACAAGCATGTAAGGATGGAGGGTAAATGGAGTGAGGCTGAGTAGAAGTCTTCAAGCAAAACAGAGTCTGGGAGGCACATAGGCCTCAATGCTGACTGTTGCTGCTCAACAAGCTTCAGACAAACCACTGCACCATGGGGACAGTGCCTCTGAAGCCTGGTCCTAGTTGTGACCCAGCGCTGGAGCCTATAGGTTAACAGAACAAAAAGGTCAAAGTGAGCACCTGGAAGCAACACCCAAACCAATCAGCACTGGATAAGACCCCTGGCCTGGGCTTTCATTGGCTAAATGCAGCCATAATTCGGCGCAGTGCACTTTGGGAAACTTACTTTTTCAGGCCCAACAGGTGGAATTAAGATCTCAATCACTGACTGATCATTGCAAATCCTGGTGTTGGGGACGCCCGGTGGTGCTGGAAAATGACAAATTTAGGATTTGGTGGCTGGTCACAGGTTGCATGGAAGTGTTGTCTGCAACTGATCTCTTGTTTTGAGATGTAATTTTAGATTTCATGAAGTCCAGAATGCTCCCTGAGGTGAAACGTATTATTTCAATTATTCCTGAGGACCACAAATCTAAATGGATATATTGTTTTTAAGTTTTTTTCTTTGATTTTTAAAGAGAGAATGAAGGAAAGGAAAAGAGAAAAGCACTGATTGGTGCCTCCTGCATGGCCCCCACCCACTAGGCTTACACCCAGAAAACTTGGCTTGTGCCTCACAAGGAATCTAACTGGTAACCTTTCTGTGCATGGGACTACACTCAACCAACAGACCCACTCCAGCCATCAGATACTTTATTTTTATCAAAACATCTTATTATTAATAGAAAAATCAAGATAGGAGAAAATGTACATAATCCTCTCC